AACCAACACGGCTCTTTGAAAAAACACATACACAGATAAACACACTAAAAGGGATAGAATAGATCAAATTGATAGAAAAAATGATGACAAAAGAGATCAAAGAACATCGATAATACACTCAAACATGGACACTTTAACCAGCTTTTATTTTGCACACAAATACACCTTTTTTTTGGTGATTTAGAACTGAAACACAGTCACAGAACTTAATCGATAAAAAAACACAGGAATTTTGACTCGAATAAATTTGATATTTATTTGGGCAACAAAATTAGAGGCCTGGGCATAAACAAACACAATATTTTTTCACATTGAAGATTGTTGAATATTTCAACGTTTGATTTTCGAACAAAACTAACAAAATCGGATGTAAAGATTTAACACATGTGGCATTTTTTCACAAAACTCAATTAACGGTGATGAATTGAAATCGTTGACGATATTCTAGTGAATTACCCGAATTTAAGAATCGAAAAAAACAAACCGGAAAGCCCAGACGATTCACAATTAAACGAGATCAAATGAAATGAAAAAAAACTAATAGAAAAAAGGATACGATTACGATGAAAATTTTAAGCGGCAAGAAAAACACCACTACTATTAGACAGAATGTCGACTTCACGGAGACTGAGGATACTGCAAAAATTTGCCTTACGACGAATGGCAATAGTAGAAAAAAATACTAGCAGCAAAATTTCATTCATAAATGGCAGTGGTTCACTGAACATCAATGAACTTTTGCGACAACATTTACCGATGCTGTTAGCAATCAAAAAGTAGGCTCCACCTTTGGATCCCCGCATCAATTTAGCATATCATTTGTTGTTTTCATTTTTACATTATCCTGGTTTCGTTCAAAGGTAGAAGCATCTAAATTAATCAGAATTATTTTTTCCAATTTCGATGAGCAATAATACTGCTAGCATTTGGATTCATATGCTAACGGAATAAAGAAAAGTTATATTCAAACATGGATAAAATAAACGTAACAAGGGGATATCAACATTGTGACGGTCATAGCATTCGATCATCGGATAATGATTGAACATTTTTTTTTCACGTTGCATGCATTGTAAAAAAACCCCATCATTTTGAATTCATGAATTTGAATGTTGGACAAAATGAAAGAAAAAAAAAAATTATATTGCGTCGCAAATTCTTCAAATACAAAATCATTTTTTTCACTCTTATATAATAGTTTTTTTTTCGAATAAAATCAATTTCCATTTTTTCCCTTAGATTCTCATTTGATAGTTTAACAGATTTTGTCATTGATTTCCAAAAAATTGAACAAAAAAAAATCATAATTCATTTTGTTATTGTTAGTAATCAAAACAAAAAAAACAGAATACACCTTCGATAAAATTTCCAATTAATTTCCGCCTCTTATTGTTAAGTAAATGATGACGTTCCATAATTAAACGATAAACAAACAGATGAATCAGATCATAGCTGATTATGATGTCAATAATGTTTAGAATCATATGTAACATACAAACAAAACAAAAAAATTCAGATAATTCAAGTTTTCTGGTTGATAATGGGCGCTATCATCATTGTTTCTGATAATTTTTTATTTTGTTCCGTATGTGTTTGTTGTTGTTGCCTCTGGTATTCTATTGTTATTGTTATCATTTTCCTTTCTCTTATACACAATCCTAAATTAGACTCAATTTTTTTTTCATCCATCTAATCCACGATTGCAATCCAATCCTCTACATCAACCATCAACTATCAGCCATCATTTCTATGAAAGCCAAATATTTTGTTTGTTCTTTTGGGTTCGAAAGATTGAAGATTTCAGTAGTATAGCTCTCCATTCATACATCAACGACAATCATGGTTGTTTGTTGTTGATAATGATGATGATGATGATGATGATGACGACGACGATGTGTATATGGATGGTGGTGTCATTCGAAATGGCAAAAGAAAAAGAAGAAGAAGAAGAAAATAAATCACATGACAATTTTTTTTTCATACCATAGATCAACCAGAAAAAAAACCACGACAACCGATGTTGTTGTATACACAACAACAGTTTCTATCAAAACACATACATCCAAATCCAAAAACAACATCTACTTCCTAATTTTCTAAATATCACATCGAAATTGAATCTAAAAATCGGTCGATCTAAATGTGGCTATGTTTTTATTTTTTTGATCGTAATGCAAATAAGCGAAAAACAAAAACAAAAACAAAATTCAATGAAATGATGTTGTTGATTTTTCGAAAATATGGCCGCATACAATTCCGATTCAATTCATTTTAATAACACAAATACACATCTGTAACAATATTGATATTGGGGATATTTTTTTAAAAAATCATTTATTGTTTTGATTTGGGATATCAATTCCGTATTTTCTAGTTTATAATGGAAACGAATTTCCTGTTGATGTTTAAATCATAATAATGATGATGATGATGATATTTTTGTCATTTTTTTTCCAAAAATGTTTCCTATTTTTGTTTTGTTTTGTTGAATGATATGTGTTGACCACTCATTTCCTTTTAAAAACTGTTTCTATCTTAATATTCTGTTCAATTTTTTCGGGAATGGGGGATTCCAATTCCAAAGATTTTATTTCTTCAATCTCCAATCATTATCGAATATCGTTGTTGTTATATTTATGTCGAGTTAAATCAAGTAGAAATTTTCATTTTATTTATCATCATCATTTCCAATAATGAATGTGTGTGTTTATTTCTGTGTTTTGTAGAATGAATAAATGTAAAATGAAGAAAATCGGAAAAAAGTGCTCGCTTGTTTCCTCAATTCCGATTTCACTTTATTTTATCTATCCTTATGTATGTTTGTGTATGTGTTTTGGTAAATTCCTTTTCCAAATAATTCTGATTGCTTCGTCATTTTTCATTACTGATATACAGTTGATCTTTGAATTGCGCATTACACAATTCATTCATTCATTTTTCAATAAATATAATTGAAAAAAATCGATGACAAACTACATAAAACAACTATAGAATTGACAAGTATTATTATATATGGATGAAATAAGTGAATGCGCAACACATACACTAATACACAATATATTCTGCTATATATGGAATTTTTCCGTTATCTCAATCATCATCATCATCATCATTGCATTTGTATTCAGCCAACATATCAGAGAAAAAATGCAATAAAACTTCCATGATTGAAAAACAGATGGCGACACTTGAGCCACAAGAATTTTTTTTTCAAAATTATATGTCAAAGTTCGTTTTTTTTCGCCGTGAAGGTGCCGAATTACGAATCACAAGAATTTCAAGAACACATACACAAAAAGAATACGTAAATTTTTGAATTATAATTTACTTTTTTCTTTTTTTATTGGGTCGAAAATCAAAGGCACCAACACAGTTAGATACACGAAGAGAACAAAATCCACGTACACACATCATACAATTTGAATTGGCCGGTTAGAATGAATCGAAAAGCGGAAATTATATATATTTTTTTAATCAAAAAGGTCGTTTTTCGAAGATATTATTAGATGATCATCACGATATCAAGAATTTATGGAAAAATTCGCTCTTGATGGAACGATGATGAAACGAATATGGAGGACAAAATTGGATTTTTTTTCTTTGAATCAAAAAAAAAATTGAATCCAGATATGCGGACCGGTAATTAGATGATAGAATCGAAATTATCGATAGATTTTTGCAACAATCGAATAGATATTCATTTCTTGAAAATAGAATCAAACAAAAAAAAATCTGAATCCAATTCACCATCAACAACCATTAAATGCTAAATAACGAATGAAAATGATTTTGATGGCGTCGTTTTGTTGGATTTGCAGTTCGATGGTGCTCTTTTTCTTTGATTTGGCCAATTTCCCAGTAACAACGACGACAAAAAAAATGCTCTACATCAGCATTGAAAGTACAGATCACAAACAGCTACACCAAAAAAAAAACTTCTAACAAAATAAGAACATTTACATGGATCTGCCTATTCAGGCACCTCAATTGTTCTTTTCCTCCCTCCGCTCGCGAAATACACACAATATACTCACAAAACCTTAATAAATCCCTCCCTTCAAATTTCAATTCGCAATTCTACATTTCGTTCAACATCCCCCCGCATCTCAACTTCCAATTATTATTATCATCAACAACAAAAAATGCAGTCAAGCGTTATGGGCAAAACAAGTTGACAACAATCCAGTATTTCCAGTTTTTATTTTAATATAAAATGCACAAACACAACACCCACACAAAAATATTTTCAAAAATACGACGCAATACAAAATTAAAATACAGTGAATTTGAGGTTTATATTTTTCAAATGAATGATTTTTTTTTTTTTTTGGGATTCCAAATCGTTCCCAGTGAATGGAATTGAAAAAAATGAAGTTTGGATGTAAATATTTTCTCTCATCATTATCTACATTATATAGTTGCTATGGAAATAAATGAAAAACTTGTTTTAACCACCATTATCATCATTATCATGCCCTGGCCCAAATGGCCCAGGTTAAAAACAACCATATGAAATTTAATAAAAAAGGAGCATTTTCTCAATACGACGAATCATTAGATTTGGACGAGTCCATTAATTTCTTTTAGTTGTTGTTTTTGTTGGAAGTTTTTTTCATTCTGCTCATCAAAGCAAATTAAAAACTGTAGATTATTATGGTTGTGTTTTTGTGATTTTTTTTCCAAGAGATAAATAGCATTTTTTTTTATATTTGAATGCAATAACACAATTTTCTTTCTTTGAAACCAACTCTCATTAGTATTGGGTAACCATAGCAATATATAACGTATACACAGACCAAAGATAATAGAAGATAGAAGTGAAAAAAAATATACATTTACGATATGGGATTTAGCTTTCAAATATTCGAAGAAGAATAAGACTCCCCGAAATAATTTTTAAACTAAAAATAATGGATCAGTAATCGCCATCTATTAATTGGAATCAGAAATTCTTAGGAATTTTTTTTTCATCATTAAATTCGATCAGTGCCATCAATATGCCATATGTGAAATGAGATAATATTATCAGGTGATTGTGTGTTTGCTTTTTTTGACTGTTAATGAAATTTTTATAACACTAAAATATTTAACTAAACCTGTTGATTTTTTTCGCTAATAATATCAAATCGATTTTTTTCAATCAATCAAGTGTTTGTTTTTGAAAATAAGATTATTATATTCCACACACAAATTTACAAATGTTGCTTTCATCCGAAGATGATGAGGTTCGAACATGGGCCGATGAATTAATTGATGATGAATTCACTGCCGTTTGTTCACATCAGACGATTCGTTTGGATACAAATGATTCGAAATCACCACAGAAACATTTTTCACTTAATCACAATAATCATTATATTTATGGTGTTCTTACCGGATTCAATTATGGTGATTCAAATGATGAACATTGTCTGAAAATATTTTCGGAAGTTTTTTCATATTTTCCTATCGAATTAATGGAACGTATTAATTCGATAAAAGATTTCGATCAAGATGAATGTTATGAGAATATATTGCTCGAAACATTTTACATTATTGAACAATTAATTCGTAAACATATGGATGAAATATTAAGTGAAAAAACGGCTTTAGAATTAACATTAAGCGGTACAGATTCATCACAATATCCAAAAATTCAACAAAAATTGAATGAATATACGCAGAAATTATCGTTTGGCTTTTCCTGTGTGATAACTATTATAAATAAAGTGAAAATTTATGTGGCCAATATTGGTGATGCACGAGCAATACTTTGTTCAAAACATAATGATCAAATCCGATCACAAGAATTGTCAACTCGTCATGATTTAAGCAATCCAAATGAATTGAAACGTTTGGAAAGTATTTCGATTGAAACCGAAGTATTAAAATCAAATCAAAGGATCGGTAATATGACCTTAACACGTTGTTTAGGAAATTTAAGACTTAAAAATTCTTATAGAAAATATTGCGTTTTATCTACAGCAACAAGCGATCCTATTCTTTCGATACCAAGCCTCAATTCCATTCGTATTAATAGTTCTTGTAAATTTTTGATTTTAGCATCGGCCAGTTTATTTCAGACACTTCAACAATGTTCAAATTGTGAAAATGTTCTCGATGATCTATCGTTGATGATTAATAATAAACTTTCCGAACAAAATGATCTCAAAAATGTTCCTGATCTAGTTTTACAAGATATATTTCATAAATATCTAAATCTACATGAACAACAAGAATTGCTTCATTCGAAACCCATCCTATTGATAAGATTGTTTCCATCATCACCAATGACAGATGATCATGATACTGATGACGATGCTAATCATGATTCGAAAGCAGTTAAAACGGTAACCACACCGATAATCATCATGAATGATGATGTCAATCTTGATCCATCTAAATCAAATGATTCAGGAGGAAATTCAAAACGAGAACCAGAAGAGATTGATGCTTATGTTGATTTTGGTCCATTAATTGAATCATTGAAAAAACATAATATCGATTATGATTCTTTTAATTAATTTTTATATGATTTTATTATAATTTATTTACAAAATATTAATTAAAAAAATTTATTGAAAAACAAACGAATTAATCTTCACTGATTGGCAAAGCATCTTCCATTTTTTTCAAAAATTTTACTCGTAATTCGGTGACTGGATCACCACGAAGACAATCTTGTAGAAAATAAACCTGTGCTTCAATTTGAATCATTTCCAATGCACCACGTATAACACCGCAAAGCATGTTACAATATCTTAGATTTCCCAAATGATCAGGCAGTTCAACATATTCGGTCAAAGGATTATTATCGATGATGATCGAAAATTCATCATTTGCTGTTGACCAATTTGTTATGGTTGGCGCGAATCCCAAATAGATACGGAATGCAGTTTGAATTTTATCCGCTACATCTTTGAAATCATGACATCTGGCCATTTGAGTTTTAGCAAGAAAATCTTCAATCAAACGTAAACCAATGTTGTAGCCCATTTTATCCAATTGTTTGTTGATTTCCTCAGCATTTTCACATTCTTTCACTAATTGAGCAATGGTAGCGCCATATGTCAACACAAATAAATCTGAATTCACTTTTTTCGTTTCAATAGTATTTTTGTTCATTTGTCGGGACATTTTTTCAAAATTAAATTTCAATTTTAAAATTGTTTTTTTTTCTAAATCGGTCGGTGTTTCTTTGACAATAACATTTAATCGTGTATTTATAATTTCTGTAAACTTACTCTGAACTGTTTGAATCTAGGTTTACGGGAATATTGCTTGCTTTAAAATGGATCTATTTTGGAACCTTCTGATGAGTTCCAAAAACAAAATGGATATTCGAAATTTTGATAATCATACTAGTATTTCGATAATTTTTTTCACCATTGTTGATTTTATTGTTTTTTCTGTATTGTTTTTACCGGAATGGATTGTATCGAATGTTGGAGGCGATGTACAAATCGGTCTATGGAAGACTTGTATTATCAATCGAAAACGGATACACAAATGTTTTTCATTTTCACCACCATTGCCTTGGAAATTGGCTATCATTTTTATCATCATCGGTTGTTTTTTCGATACATTAGCCATAATATCATTTATTAAATCATTTAGGAATCCATTGTTTCGGCGTTATGGACGATGGTTTGGACTTTTCACTTTGTTCTTTTTTAGCACACAGAAAAAATCAGTTGAAAAAACCCTAAATTTTACACATGAAATGAGTGAACACTAAAAAATACACCACAAAATCGAGAGAACATTAAAAAATACACCATAAAATTAACTTTACCCTAAAATTTGTCCACTAAATTTTGAAACACTACAATTAGGATATGATGCGCATGCTTTTATACAGAAAAATCCGTTTGTAATTGTTTATCATTCTATGACGCAATTATTCNCACACAGAAAAAATCAGTTGAAAAAACCCTAAATTTTACACATGAAATGAGTGAACACTAAAAAATACACCACAAAATCGAGAGAACATTAAAAAATACACCATAAAATTAACTTTACCCTAAAATTTGTCCACTAAATTTTGAAACACTACAATTAGGATATGATGCGCATGCTTTTATACAGAAAAATCCGTTTGTAATTGTTTATCATTCTATGACGCAATTATTCAATAAATTATACAATCTTCAATAATTATCATATAAAATTGGATATTTTTTGTATTTTCGTCAATTTTTTTATAAATGTAAATATAATATTATTGTTCGATTGATTATGAAGACATTTTAATAACATAAAATATTCTTCATTTCATAGTTTAATCTTTGAAAAGCATTTTTCTTGGTTATTTTTTGTTTTCTCATCGAAATCATGGTACGTTTAGACGAGGATGCTTATTGTTTCATATGTAAAACTCGTTTCATTACGAGTGAAGAAATCAAAAAACATTTTAAGAATGTTCATCGCAATTACCAATCTGATGAATACTGTTGTAAAGCTTGTGTTGCTTGTACATATGTAAATTTGCGAAATCTAATCAGACATTTCGTAAATCATCATTGCCAACCGAATCGATATATAGAAAATGTTTGTGATGTCCCTGATGAGAGTCTGAATCAAGATATAGACTATATCATGCAGTTAGATATTGATCAAGCTAATGAGTCAATTGAAATTGATCAAGCTAATGAGTCAATTGAAATTGGCCAAAGCGATGAGCTTCAATATGATGATGTAAAAGATGATGATCAAATACTTGACATTTTAAAGGAACATTTATTGAAACAAATGGTTAATGTCATGTCCGATCTTACGCTAACTAGAAAAAAACAAAACATGTTTATTGATTTGGTAAAAGATGCATTGAAATCTATTAATGACTATCATAGAACTGCCTTTCAAAAAATTATCGATTTGAAAGAATATAAAGAAGAAAAGTTAACTGCTTTCTCTCGTAGCCATTTTGATAATGAAAATCTTGATAAAATTTTTAAAAATTTTAAAAATATGAACAAAATTCAATCAATCATTGGCCCTTATCCAATGCCACGAAAAGTTTTAATCAGAAACAAACCAGATCAATTGAATATAAGCTATATAAATAGCGAGCGAGTCATTTCTACTCGATATTTTTTTTATCAATATATCCCAATAATCGAAACATTGTCTTATCTGTTACAGAACGAAAATCTTCGAAATCTGATTCAAAATGAATCAAATTATCAAATACCGAACGTATTCTCAAGCTATCGTGATGGCCAAATTTTTTCTAAATCTGAATTTTTCAAATCACATCCCAATTGTATCCGATTAACATTATTTGTAGACGAAGCCGATCCATGTTCTGGTTTAGGACCGCGAGCATCAAAAAACAAAATAACCACATTGGCTTTCCAAATTCAGAATATTCCCAAAAAGTATAATTCCACTATGACCACGGTATTTCCTGTGATCATGGCTAAATATTCGGATATAAAAGAAAATTATTGTTCTTTTTTTATAAATTTTGCGGAAGATTTAAAAAAACTTTATTGTAACGGCCATTCAATCAACCTACCGAATGGAAGCCAATATAAATTTCATGTAGCGTTAGCATCCGTGGCAGCTGACACTTTGGCATTTCACGGTATCTTCGGGTTAATGAGCCCAAGCGCAAAACAATTTTGTCGTATGTGCCAAATCGATAGAGATGGGTTAAAAAGTACTGACCCAATGCCTGAGTATCCAGAAAAGGATATGGATTGGTATATACAGGCAACCGATGCAATTAAAAAAAGTAGCGATGAATGTCCAATTTTTGGCATCAAATATGAATCGTTATTGAATACTATTGGTGAATTCCATTTAACAAATAATTTTACATTTGATCCGATGCACGATTTGCTGGAAGGTGTTGTTCCTCAAGAACTATCATTAGTTCTAGGTGTTTTCTTGAGAAAAAATTTTTTCACGATCGATCAAATAAATGGCCTAATTCAAAATTTTGATTATGGATTCAGTGAGAAATCAAATCGACCTGAACATATTTTGAAAGAACGACTAATAAAACAAAAACGAATTAAACAAGCTGCATGTCAAAGTTGGCTTTTATTACGAGCATTCCCATTCATCTTTACCAATCGAGGAAATATCGATGAGGATGAGAAAGATGATTTGATTATCTACCAAGAAATGCTTGATTTGATATGTTATTTGATCCAAATCACGCAATATTCCTTTTCACCGCGATTTACGATAGATATGATCAATCCATTCAAAAATGTGATAAAAAAGCATGATCATCTGAAGAACAAACTTTTCCCGGGAAAACGAATAAATAAAGATCATCATATTTTTCATTATCCAAGATGTATCGAACAATCAGGACCTATTGTTCTTCACTCTTGTTTAATCTTCGAAAGGAGAAACGCATTTATTTCAAGTCAAATCAAAGCCACGAAAAACTATATCAATTTACCGAAATCGATCGCCGACAGGCAAGCCATGAAAATGGCCATTGACCTCAATGATTGGAATTGGAACGATCGGTTTGAATTCAAAACGAAAAAAATTTTGTTTTCTGATACTCAATTTTCCGTACGTGGATTCAATTTTGGATTGAATGAAATCGAAATCGTAAGAAATTTAAAGTTCAATGGCATCCAATTCAAAAATAATTTGTTTGTATCAATAAATGATATTGATCAATACTATGAAACTTTCGGGAAAATTATCCAGATCGCTAAAATTGGTCAAGATTTCATGTTTTTATTGAAATTATATGACACAATGGATTATAATGATGAGATGGCCGCGTATCTTATCGAAGAAACGGAAATTTTTCAGATATTTAATCTAAATCAATTATTCGAAGAACAAACTTTCGATGTCTGGAAAATTTATAATGATCATAACAATTATATATCAGCACGAACATGTAGAATTCCTCTTATTTAAATATTGAAATTTGAACATTTGATTCGTTGTTGATCAAGATATAACTGAACAATTTCAAATTATCAAAAAAAAAAAAATTAATTAGGTAAGTTGAAAATTTGATAGACATTTCGAAAGTTTGGCGCATATTTAAAAATTTAAAATTTGCAGAAATTGCACGTACTTTATGAATCGCCAATTATGTGCATTAATTCGATATCGAGCGCATTTTCCGTTCGATATGCTATTTGCATTCGTTTTCCGTTCAATTCTAAAAAATGAGTCAAACAGCAACTGAAATCTTTTCATCTATAATAAATTTGGATGGTAGGAATGATGCTGAATCTAATTTATCTATGGATTCGAATATGGTTATCGACAATGATTTGAAAAATGATGATGAACCGAAAAGTAATGAAAGTAATGATGTTTCTGACGGAACAATCGTTGATAATTTGCCAACGGTAGGTACTTTTAGATATAAAAAACATTTTTAATCGAACTTGGTACTTATTTTCATGTAAACAGTTGGCTGAAATTTTCGAAATTAGAGGCAAAAAATCGTTTTTCAAAAGTATCGTAGAAAAAAAATTGATAACATCTACTGAACGTCAAGAATTGGTCGAATGTGTAGGTTATTTTTTATCGGATCATTACAAAACGTTAAGCATCCCTATTAAATCATTACAATACTGTGCAAAAGAACTAAGTAAAATCAGTCAAGATTCAGAAGTAAGTTTTATTCTAAAAATTTCACTCAATTGACGACCTATATTTTTATAGGGAGATTATTTTTGCTATTGGAAGTCGTCGCGAATTAGAGGTGGAAGAGTGGTGGAACACAAAAAACCGATTGGAAAATTGTACAAATTTTTTGAATATCGTCGAAGGAAGTTCCGACGAGGACAACGATCATTATTTGCCGAAAAAAAAACCAAAAAAAACTCTATCGAAATGGACGATTCAGGAAATAACATTGTTGATCAAGTAAACATTCAATTTAGATCTTATATTCATATATATTCATACATTTTCAATTTAGAAAAAAAAACTGGATGCGATCATACCAATACTAGCCAACAAATCAATAATTTTCAATTTATTTTCTGTCACGTATACATTAAGGAATATTATCCGCTGCAATTGTGATGACCCTGGGTCAAAACTCATAAAGGAATTCGAATGTTTTTTTTTCTTTGACGGTTTATTGGTAAGCATTCTAATAATATTAATGGACTCTTATTAATCTTTTATAATCTTTTATCTATTTTTCAGATAGAAGAAGAATTCAAACTTATATATCCACATTCAAATGCTTTGAATGAAAAAGCGAAAATCAACGAATTAATCAAAAAATTCAAAATTTTTTCAAACAATGATGATGATAACAATGATGATGATGATGATAATGAATTTATGAATTTGTTCATTTTTTTGAAAAAAAAACTGAAATGTAGATCACCGATCACCACACGCAAAGCTTGTATTGATTTATCAGATGAATATGATGGGCTTTTGTTCAATTTACAAGTATGTTTTGACTATATAGTTATATTGATTATTGACTTTATTTTATTTTATGAATAGATGAACGATGATGTTGCAGCCATTTCAAAAAAAATCAATGATATTTATAATTTTCCTACTGTATTGAAACAAGTCGACGTTTTTTTCCTATCTTATGGCAACAAAAGCATTAAATTGGAGTCCTTCAAAAAAAGCTTCATGTTGCTTTTAAAAATGTCTTTAGTTTTAAAACTTAAAGTTAACAATGCCAATTCCAACATAATGACATTTTTAAACCTCGTATTATTTGATATAAAAAAATCAATAATGTCGAAAAAAATCAACGATTTTTGTGATTCAATTGGTTTGGAAAGAAAAAAAATGCTGCTAGAATCATTCCCTGAAATGATTTTTACATCGAAAAACACAAAACTATAATTAATTTAATGTTTCTTCGAATAATTAATGTCTCTTTTCAAACTAAAAATTCCCATTGCCAATGCCAAAATTTTGAAATTA